GTATTTCTCTTGCTCACTGACTAGGCGGTCTACTAATATTTTCTTTAGTTAACAATAAGTTCTTATATTTTGCGTAATTAGACAATTAGAGAAATTACGTTCCGTACAACGTATTTTACGTTAACGTACACAGTCGCCAATAGGTACACTGCATTTTCTATGTTTCCATAGATTTAACAGTTTTTTCTACGTTTTGCGTGCTGTACGTTCCACGGAACGTGGTTTCGCTAATTGCGTAGTATATTTTACTTTATTTTTTTTACTTTGAAGTGCACGTAAAATTGTTCTTCGGTGTACAGGAAGATGAAACTCTTTTGTGTGTTGTCAAAACATAAAAATTTTAAGAAGGTTAACAACTTGTATCACAACTATTAATTGTTGTCTGAGATTTTAATATATGTTTTTATTTCTGATTGACTTATTGTTTTGTTGACAGTTCATTTCAAACCCAAGATGTTAATTGTGTCACAAAAATATAATGTCAAAATTCTATGTTACTGCATTAAAGAGGTCTTCAGTAACCTCACTTCTGTTATCTAAACTGTATTAAATGTCCTCCTTTATCAAAAAATGTAAGATTAAAAGATATTCAAAAATTACATCGTGATATTTTTTGTTCCTCATCTTATGTACATATAATAAAATTTTATTTAAAAGTAAGAACAAAAAAATAGTGTTGTTCTTTAGAAAGTATAATTTAGCGTACCTATATAGATGAAACATCCTATGCTTATATGTACGGTTTGTGATTACGGAATAAGGTAGAAAACAAAACGTATTATTCTGTTTCAAAATAAATGAAATTAAAAAACTAAAGATACCAACGACTCTGTTACAAATATAAAACTAAATAAATGACCAACGTTACCGACGGAAATAAGAAATTTAACAAATTACAAAATAAGTATGCTGACCAGACCATCGGTGTTTCCCCGGCGACCAAGTATGTCCAGATATACTGATTGGAATATTTCACCCTCCTCGGATACAGAAAACTTTAATCTATTGTTCGAGCCACTTTGGCTTAGCAGCGTACCAAACCCATAAGCAATACATTTACAAGGGAGAATTCGCGGCCTGTTTGTCAGTTATCAATAATCTACTGATTTCTGAAGAAAGAAGTATGTCACTTGACGTACATGAATTTTATATACATTAACAGAAAGTTGTTGTCACTTTGCTTTTGCTATTAATGTTAAAATTTGATTTTTATATGTTAAAATTTTATAGTAAATAGAATACCTATTGCATTTTCATAATTTTAAAATTGCGTTGAATGGTTTTTTAACACTTCATATTTCAAAAACTATACAAAAAAAAAGTATTTTTAAATTTTTACCAAGAAATTTTTCTTTGTTATATGCACAAAAGGTGTATTGAAATTTGCTGCAAGATTTTTTTTATTATTGAAGATTTTAAAATCGGTCAGTGGCAAAGTTGCAGATTATAGTTTAAAATAATTTTTGTAACGAATAAGTATTTGACAACGATCCTTATCTTACAGGTAAAAATTTTTAAATTCGAGCGGTGACTCGGATGTTGTATTCACGCACGTCTTTGAGGTACAACTTGCTTTCAAACATACTTAATTGCAAGAAAAACCTCTTATTGATTATCTTCGTTATTCAAAAATAATTTCAGCATTTTGGTGAAAAGCAATTTCCAAATTTCTAGTAATGAAAACACCTCGTTTAATGAAAATTTTGAAACGCGTTCCGTGTAGATGATGAAATTTTTTTTTTTAAGAAATCTAAAGACACGAATACCATCACAGTTACATTACTAGAATTAGGTTATACAGACAAAAATTTAAGCAAAACTTGAAGTAAATTCTAAAATATGCGATAAATAGCGGAAAAATTAAAATTTTGAAATATGTATGAAAATTCAAGAAATAATATAGTTAAAAAACTAAAAAACACGCTTTTGTCATTACGACTTTCTAGATTTGTTTACATAGTTTGTTACAAGTGAAGTTAATATAAGCATGTTAAAAATCCACTTATAACGAAATAAAAAATAAAAATCGCATTTCAACACTAATGGATACAGATTGATAAGAGATTTTTATTTATTACAATTTCCTTGTATGTCGATTTTGTCTTGAATATTCACATTTTTAAAATTTCATTTTTCTGCATTATTTATCACATCATATTGTTACGAAATAAGCCCATATGCCGCCTCGGTACGACGCCAATGGGCCGTCAAGAACTTTCTGGTTTTACGCCGATGATGATTCATCCTCAATGCGACCGAGCGACGGAGTGTTAAAGAAACGCGGAAGTCGCGAACGGCAATCCAGAAAGATCCTAATCACGCAAATCTAGAAGGAAGTATGGGTTTTATATAGAGGCCACCTTCGGGAACGATTATTATTCAGCTAGTGAAGTCAAGAGAAGTTGCGTCGGAATTATTTTTGTACATAATCGCTCTGTAATTAGTCGTGTAAATTTGAGTTATTAAGAAATAAATTGTAGAGTTTAAACCACGCCGATTTTATTCACCGAACAACGTAACAATATTTTAAAATCTATTTCAAATTCTGCCATGGTTTTTAATGGTTTTTTAAACTGTACTGATTCTAACAATGTTTAAATTGAAAAAAATCTTTATATGTTAGTTCACGAAACGTGTTCCGAAATTTTCAGTAAAAGAGATTTTTTATTACTAAGAATTTTGAAATTGATCTACGACAAAGTAGTAGTTAAACGTGACATATCTCAGTTATTAATGTGCTGTATCCGAGTCTTCGCTCGAGTTTAAAAATTTTTACGTCAAGTACAAAGACCGTTACAAAATACTTCTTGATTGCAAAAATTATTTTAAATCATACCCTACAACTTTGCCACTGATAGACTTTAAAATTTCACTACAATTTGTGTACAACTACATTGTTAAAATCAGTAGCGTTTAGTTATATTACTACTGTTAAAAAACTAAGACAAAATACTGAACAACTTTTAAAAACTACTTCAGAAAATGGTGGATTTTTGATGACTGACAACGCCGCGAATTATCCCATACAAAATGAATTGCTTAGGAGTTTTGTACGCTGCATTGATTACGCTGCGAAGGCAAAACGGAACGGAAATTCGAATGAAAATGAAACTTTCACGTTTTACCATGAAAGCAAATTTATTCTCAGTCGCATTCATTCTTGAAGACTTTGGCGGTGAGATGTCACAAAGATGTATGTATCGAAGTGAAAAATTGTCTAACAAAATTTTAACTGTTGCCTGGAAACTTTATTTGAAGTCATTGTTGTTAGCCATTGAAACACACAGTAACTTCTTTCCCATCGTAAGTTTTAGCAGTGAAATGATGCATTGATACAAATTAAAAATTCTATGTTCATAAAAAAAAAACACGATCGCCTAGGTATATGGAACAATAAAGTATCGTGATAGTGCTGTGTTCGTATACGAAGAAATGTTATCAAACTAAAATCAGTAAAATGCTGTGTAATATTCAATAAAATCTTTTTTAGTTTAAAAACTAGTGAAAACCCTTTACGTTGCAGAAAACTGGAGTTTGAAAACGTAACTTTATAAAGCGAAATGTTAAAACGCGCAGCGCAAATACTAGAAAGTATTTGGCAGAATAAGCTCTTAGTCAAGGAAATAGTTTTAAATGCCGAAAAATAGAAAAGAAAATAAATTACAGTTAAAATCTCTTCTGTATTATATTTTTATAGAACTACATTAAATTATGTTTTTAAAGTTATTAACGAGAAAAACTCTGAACAATAAAGGTTACAAATGATAAAACGGCGATAATTAAAATTTCTCCGATTTGATCATATTATGTCAAAAGCGAATCCAATTTACATTTTATAAAATAACAAAAATGTGATCTATTAACTATTAGGTACCAACTACCAACCGACTGTTCTGAAGTCGCGGAAACGTTTTAAGGTTATCGTAAACATGGTAAATCGTTAATGAACATTTATCTGTTTATCTGCCCCTAGAAGCCTGATGACATCATCTAAAATGTGGAAAAACGGCTTACCGCATTTTCCTGAAATTCGGGGAATACAGAACTGCTGTTATTAATATTCCTCGTTATCTATCCAAATTGATATATTGATCTAAAAATGTTGATGGCGTTTTCACAAAAACTCTTACTAAAAAAACTGACTTTAAACATACGCACCGCATCATGTAGTTTAATATTCCACACCTATTTTATTTTAACTTAATTTGTAGGGTTATTTGATTGTGCTTCAGAGGCGAGGGTTTATCGATTTAGTTCTTCTAGTACACTAATATCCAAACATCTTTCAAAATTTAAAGTTATAATAACAGACTTATAAATAAACATGCATTTGGTGAACTGTAAAAAATAAAACATGAAACTAAATAACGATTCAATATCACAGGAATAATGTTTTGAATTAAGCTGAGACAATAAATCATGTGTAAAGTAAAATGACTAGGTTGCAAATTTACTGACCACAGGGAAGTGAAACAAAAAAATGCTGTGGTATTCCGCAACAACAAATTTTTAGTACCTTACACTTAAATTTTTTTAACATGTGCTCAACTGCTGTATAAAAATTATTTTTCAAAGTATTTTTTAATTACGTAGTTGAAACAATTGACACTATTAAAACAAATAAAAAAATAATCATACGCTAAAAATGCGAAATACTCGGGTGTAGAGGACTTATTACAACTACGCAATAGTAAGATTATTTTGTAATAAGCTAATAAGCAAGTATGCGTCAGGTGCAGTGGCGTTACAAATTATAAATTAACCAATTTTTAATATTCAAGTGAATTTATTTCAAATATTATACAATAAACAGTTTTGGCCAAATTGTTCTATTATCAATTAATTCTGATATTAATTCACAATGTTGCTGAACTATAATGTGGTTATGCAACCAAAAATACAAAATCAATACCAGGCGTTTCCTGTAATCTTGCACTCTGTGCAAACGTGTAAATGTATAACAATTTTAATTTCAATTATTAATGACGTACTTACTATTATCAGTTTTTCTGCCTATACTGCGATAACCACCATGCTTTGTTGAGCCTTTGAAAATTAAACCATGGCAGCCTCTGCCATGCAAGTTGTTTGAGGTTGCACCAGATGGAGACTCATTCGCTCGAGATTGATCTACAATTCAGTAAGAAATCCAAATTAATAAAACGACTTTACATTGTTAAAATTTATATGTACAAAATTTACATACCTAATAAAATTATCTTAATAGTACTTAAACTACCAGTACCACAGAATCAATATATTTGCTTACATTGCAAATACAAGCCCGGGCAATATAAACTCATCAATTAAAATATATTCGCTCTAAAGCAAATTGAGACTGGTTGAATTAGATGCTACTAGCATAGATCTACCAAGCGTTACGAAGAATCCGGAATATTAAATTAAAGATTTTCGTAAACATATTATTTAGTTCCTGAAACGAACAATAATTAAAGATCGTATTGAAGAATAATAATGAAGTCATAAAAATATTGCTTTTTGATTAAGAATGAGTTTCTTAGGCTTAGCAATTTCGATTATATTCAGACATTGTAGATATATGTACTAGTGTGATGCAGGGTCTTTGTAAATGTTTCTCACATACAGTAACCAGTAAAATTTAAAAATTTTACAAATTTGCCACTTCTTAGTAATGGTAAACACTTTTAAAGTGTTAGACTCGAAAAGAAACAGGACAAATCAGTGCCCATTTGGATGTTAGATTCATTTATGAAAACCTTGCACTGTGGAGATATATGTCGGACTCAAGACGTAAGTATGAATAAGGAACTCAGACAAGCAACTTTCAAAAGATAAACAGACAAGCATCAATAACTACGTTCATCGTAAGAGTTACAACATGTAGACACAAAACAAGCAAGTAGTTGTTGGTTACTTAATTATTCTATATTATCAAAATTTACACCCCCAAAAAACGAGATACTTATGTTAAAGGATTACGTTGGATGAATTTTTTAAAGTTTTGAAAATATAATTTTTAAAGTTTGCTACACCAACTTTTTTTTAGTAAACAGGTTGTTTGCTTTTCATAATTTGATTTGATAATAGATTAAAATCAATAACAAACAAATTCAAAACAAGGGCTTGTTAGAGTGTCTTAGGAGCCTCAAACATAGGTAAGTTGATAGCGTGATCATTTCCGATTATTATATTATTATTTTTGGCATATTTTTTGAAACCTAACATAAGTCTAATAAGCTCAGTACACTATTTTCTATCCCCATTATTTCACTGGAAGAATCTATCTAATTCATTATCTAGGTCGTCGTTATTATCCCATTCTGATTCAGATTATTCCAATGAAATAAAGTGAGTTACAAAAAAAGTAGCGCATTTCAATTTTTTGAAATTTTGTAGAGATGTTTTATTTGTAGAAATGGGTATTCGTGTAGGCTGCTTATGACTCAGTTTGTATCACTCTGATTTGACAATATTTCAATCAATCCATCAACCAAGCTTTTTTACTTCCCGAGCGTAAGCGAAGGAAGTATTGTAATTAAGTCTGTCGGCCGACTCGCTCCTGTTACGTTTTCTCGACTGTTCATTACCCCTAGAGTACGAAGAAATAGATCTCCCGTTTCCGTCTGTCAGCCGCCCCGGATTTTTATTAGACAGATAATCCCCGAAAGTACTGGGCCGATTGTTGGGAAAAATTTATATTTATATTAGGAATATCATGTAGATGGTAAAACGCTAACCAAAATTTGTCTAATCATCCCCATCAATAATGTGATGACGTTACTTCAAGCTTGTACATAATAATTGGGGTTTAAATTGTATAAAATAACATAGTCCTACACATGTAGTTTATGACTCCCTGTTTTTGATTTTTGGAAAAAAAAGAAAACTAGAAAACAACATTTTGCAATTTAATTTTGAATCTGCAAAATCAGATGTTTTAAAGTTATGATAAACATGATAATTGTTTAATCAAAATATATTTACTTATCACCTCCAAAAAATTGATGACGCCAGCTCAAAATTTTGCTGAATAAATCCTATCTAATAAATTGTACAAAATATGATTAATCTGTACTTGTAATTTATCATTTCATTAATATTTTTTGGATTTGCATATACAGGATGACTCAAGAAAATTAATGAATGCGTTAATTTATTTTATTGATTTAATAAGGAACTACAAAACCGAATGCTTTGAAATCTTGGAGATGTTTTAAAGTTGTTATAATCATAGTAAATTTTTCATCAAAATGTATTTGCTCACACCCCCCTAAAAATTGATGACGTCTGCTCAAAATTTTGCTTTCCTATCTTAAATGTGCAAAATATGATAAGTCTACTTGTGATTTATTACTGTATTCATATTTTTTAGTTTTGCTTATACAGAGTATCTCAAAAAAATTAATGACTGAGTCAATTTATATATTTTATTGATTAAATCAAGAATTGCAAAAGTGAATACTTTGAAATCTTGCAGGCATTGTAAACTTATAGTAGGCATGGTAATTTGGTAATCAAAATATATCTGTTTAATTCCCCCAAAAAATTGATAACGTTATCTCAAACTGTGCAACATATGATGAGTTTTTACCTGTGATTTATCATTGCATTCATATTTTTTAGATTTGGTTAAACAGGTGGCACAAAAAAATTAATGAATGAGTCAATTTATTTTATTGATTAAAACAAGAACGGTTCACTCCTTTTCACAAAAAATTTTCGGAATACAATACTGTTATTTTTAGTATTACAGTGTACCAATCCAAGTTGGTATACGTATCCTTGCCAAAATGTTGATGACATCATCACAAAATTGTGTAAACAAAAAACTCAACTCGAAAATGCTGGATATGTTTCACTGTAGTTAAGGTGCGAGGGAAGTTCTGTCGAAACAACTTTCGACCAATTTTTTTTCAAGTTTAACTGTTATTTCTCGTGTTCTAAAAATTGAATACGCAGCACGTACCATTCTGAAACCAGATACAACGGTAAGCAGAGCACTACAAAGATTCCGTGAGACTCAGCTGGTCGTCCTAGAGTAACAGCGGCAAGATAGATTTTTAACTCTAGAAAATCTAAGGGATTGTCATCAAACCGCTGTAGAACTCGCTCAGAGCCTCAGGGCTGTACGTGGCAAGATTGTATGTGCTCAAAGCTCAAACAGTTGTAACACGTACAAACCACCGCATCGTCGGATGGACTCTTTTTCACGTTTGTTAGAGGTAGCCGTCGAATTTTTCTGATGGGAACTTTTCCAGAAAACGTATATGTCATTTCTATTGAATAATGGTTTATTACGTCGTCCCATCTTATTACCCAGAATTCCTAAAGTACCCCGCAATATCCATCCGTACCATAAAAAGTTCCCTAAGACGCCTATGGACTGAACGACGTTTTCGGTTTGACGCACTTTATACAATGGGCCCCAGCAATATCGTCGAATCCCGTCGTTTAGAGGTATAAAATTGAAACGTTCTAGAGCGAAAGCTATTAAGCACCAGATATGTCAATCTTTGACGAGGAATTTATTCGTAGAGAGTCGGACAGATTGTCTCGCTTCAGGATTTGTAGAGGTGTGTTTCGTATTGCCGCCTCGAGCTCGGGCCAATGAAATTGGCCAGCAAGTTCCGAAGTGGGATAATTTTTATTAGGGTTCGAGCATAGGAAATTCTCACCGTTGTCAATGGCCGTCGAGTACTCCTGCAAAATATGGATATTTTTATGTTTGATATTTGTAAGCCCATTGTACGGGAAGAATGTTTCTATGAATTGAACGGATTTGCCGACAGACCACCGGCTCCAAGTAATTGCCCTCTGTTTAGGCCAAACTGTGGGAAAAAACTCCCTGCGGGAAAGCACCCCCTAAAGGAGGTGATTGGCCAAGAAGTACCCTCTCTGATCAGGAAGGTACGACTTAGCTCCAAAATTGTTGCCACAAAGTTTAGCTACTGCTTCGGGTTTGAAGTGGTCAGTCGGGAAATTCTCCCGCGGGCTGTTTTTTTGCTTTCAATAATCTTTTTTTTTCATTTTGTTTAGTGTAGAGTGTACAGTTGTGTTAAATTTCCTTTTTTCGTTAGTTTTCATTTAGTTTAAGGTTGTCGTTTTTTTTGTTTGTTAAAGTAAGATTTCGTTTAGGCCAAGCGTGTGTGAAAAATAAACGAGGCTAGTCGAAAGTACTCGGTAGTTTTCTTCCTTTTTCTTGACAATTCCTCTTTGCGATTCGCGGACTCAAAAGTAGGTAGTGAATTCTATGATCTGGTGTCGACGCCGATAAAAAATTAGTTTTTTCCCAAAAAAGGTAAGAGCAATCTATTGTTTTGTTTATACACATATCAATATTGTTGGGATCCACACCGATCTGGCTAGACCGGGTTACATAGTTAGAAGAAGGTTGACGGAAAATGATTTAAAAGCTCGGAGACCGGCTCACATACCAACGCTCACGGTACGTCATAAACAAAGAAGGCTTGAATTTGAGATATTGCATCAGAACTGGGAAGTAAAAGATTGGAGAGGAGTGCTCTTTTCAGACGAATCCCGATTTTGTTTGCGTTCACCGGAGGGTCGATACAGAGTTTGGAAAAGAAGATGGGAACGATTTTTTGAAGCGACTATGGTTCAAAAAGAAAATTTTTTGGGAGGGTCTGTAATGGTATGGGGTGAAATTTCTTTAGAGGTGAAAACCAAACTCCAAGGACGTTCTTTCAACGCTAACACTTACATAGGGACATTTTGCAAGACCATGTGGTACTATATTCCCATTTTATAGGACCTGATTTCTTGTTTATGCAAGATAATGCTAAACGACACGTTGCTAGATGTGTAATTAACTAATTAATTATCTACAGGAGGTAGAAATTCAACGCTTGGAATGACCTGCGATGAGCCCTGACATGAAGCCCATAGAACACGTACGGGATGAGTTGGGAAGACGTGTCAGAGCTCGTCCAGCGCATCCAGAAATGCTGTAAGAGTTAAAAGTGGCATTAAGGAAAGAATGAGAAAATATTGACCAAAACGTTATTCGAAATTTAATACTCAGCATGCCGCGAAGAATTTCTACATTGTTGAATGCTCGAGGAGGCAATACGCAGGAGCAAAAAAATCTTGTTTATTGTAATTAACTTTTTGCTGAGTTTTTTGGATTT